CTAGCGTGCATGCATGTGTGTGCATGTGCGTGCGTGCGTGCTAGCATGCATGCATGTGTGTGCATGTGCGTGCGTGCTAGCGTGCGTTCGTGTGTGTGCATGTGCGCGTGTGTGCATATGTGTGTGTGTGTGTATGTGTGTGCATGTTTGCGTACGTGCATGTGTGTATGTCCCTGCATGTGTGCGTGTGGGTGTGCGTATGCGTGTGCGTGTGCACGTGTGCATGCGCATGCTTGTGTGTGTGCGTACGTGCATGCCTGTGTGCGTGTGCTTGCGCGTGTGTGTGTAATAGAAGTTGTCTGATTGAGCATCATTATCAAGTCATGGTTACGATTGCAGGTCATGTTTGAGAGAGTGCCACCGGCATGTGTATTCAGGTATACAGGTGACCCAGAGGCTTCAGGTACGAGTGCATTCCTCCTACTCTCATGTGCTTATCGCACCTTGCGCGCGTATTCGGAAAATCTGGGCAAGATTAATCAGAGATTGGTAAAATTCTGTGAATCGCCGGAATGTTATGTCTAGCCCAGTTCGAAGATGTAGGTACATATGTATATAATATGTAATACATATGTATATAATATGTATATAGTATATTATAATATGTATGTCATACATGTCGATTATGTATACATGCTCGTGGTATTGGTCAATATATGTATCTATAGGTGATTATTTAGACATTCTTTATACTCTTTGATGCATTTTGCTGCTACCGTGCACTAAATAAACGGTGCGGTGAAGATCGTAATTAAGATAGCGAGAGTTGCCGTATTTTTCAGGAGTGGAGGTGGCGCCGTATGCAGAGAATGCAGAGGAGAGGAACAGTTGCAACAATTCGTCCTACATCGACGCGCTCAACAACTGGGTGCGTACTTCAACGATGCCACTCGAAAAGTTCCTAACGCGACTGATTCCACATCGTTGCCGTTTAGAGGCAGTTTCGCTTGCTGCATTTTATTTTAGAGGAGAACTAAGTCGCGCTATTCTGATTTTGTGTTTACCGCACCGCGTAGAAAGTGTAGTAGGTGTTTAGGTTTCGCGATTTCTCTACTGTAGCTTGGCCAGACGATGCAGAGGGACATGCAGGAAGTTCTCATTGACCTCATTGACCTTGAGAGCGACGGCGTCTGCATACGTTTCTGCCCCCTGGAGAATGCTCATGGTATGAAATCTTGTGTTTTTGTCGGTTTTTCTACCTGAGCCGCGCGTTAAGCGAATACTTATGCCTTTCCTGCTATAATTTGCATGCCGTACTTAACATTATTAGCTGTGTTAATAACAATCTGATACTAGTAGGGCCTATTTGTTTCTTTAAATTTATTATTGTGATCTAGTGGCTTGATAATGTGAACGTTAATAATTTTTAATTCCTTGCTAACGACCCACGCTTGTTGTCGTCTGTTTGTAGTCGTTGGCACGACGATGCAAGACGTAGAAGACTTCATTGCCTGTCTCACGGACAAGATCGCCATCTTGAACGCCACCGTTCACCAGAGACTGCTCTTCCGCAACATCGTCAAGTCGAACGGCAACCTGCGGCTCGTCGACATCGGCAACTGGGCCGGTCTCGGTGCCGTGCAGTAAGTACTCATCGTCTGCACCGCCGCCCCTGTCACCATCCGTACGGACGTGGCACACTCGATATCGCTTAACTACAAATAGAAATGGAATGCAATAGGAAAATTTATGAACTGTCTTATGCTTGCACTTTTCCAGACAATTTCATTTCTCTTCTATCTCTTTCTTGTGTGCATTCATGTTTTATGTCTGCGTCGTTGCCGCGTGCAGGTGCGGCCATGTTTTATGTCCGTGGGGGCGGCCATGTTTTATGTCCGCGGAGGCGGCCATGTTTTATGTCCGCGGGGGCGGCCATGTTTTATGTCCGCGGAGGCGGCCATGTTTTATGTCCGCGGGGGCGGCCATGTTTTAT